CTGAGAAAGAAAATCTGATTTAAGCACTAAACCTTGCAGTGTGAACATACCCATTCATACAAATAAAAGCATTCGAATTCATATTGATTCGCCACTTTTCTGACAACACAAATGAAGTGTGGTCTTGCTGCAGAGTCGTCCCATGATTTTCAGTGCCGTTTATTACAAGCTTGTGGCTGATCAATAGGAAAGCGTGATGACAGGACTCCATACCTCCCCATCTCTCATCCATTCTTACAGCCTCTGTTCGTCATTTCTTCAGTGATGCTTTCTCTTTCTCTTGCTTTTTTTTTCCTCTGGGTTTGGTATCGTCTCTCCGCCCCTTAAATTCTTCTCTCTTTCTTGTTACTCTGCATTTACATGCTGCAGTCGCTCCAGCCCTGTACCGCTGCAGTAATTGGAAAGCCGTCACTGAGCTCGATGTTCGGAGCAAAAGGATAGATGGAGAAAGGGAGAGATAACCGTAAAGTGTGTGGATGTGCATGTGTGTTCAGACTGACTGATTTTGTCAGTAAAAGCAAACGTTTAGGAGTCTGCTTGCTCATGCTGGAAAGCTTGTTTTTAGAGGTCAGTTTGTTAAATAGTTGCACCGTTCCAGATTAAGCACCAGAAATCTGCTGCATTTATGCTAATTACTCAGTTTAGCTGCTGTATATGTACATGATCTGAGCCCTTTTTGGTAACACTTTACTTAGGGGTGTTCATAACGCTGTCATGAATCGTTTATAATAATGACATGGATGTGACATGATACGAATAAGATTTTATGCATGCTTATAACAACAGTCATTAAGTGTCATATACTCAGTTCTGACATTTTAAATGCAAATATGACATTGTTTGTTATGACAAGTTGACAAACAAATGCATTACAACCTATTTTTGTCTTTGTCAAGACATACTGACATCACCAAGGCAAAAACAAAAACTTGTCATCAATCCAACACAGGCTCATTATGTAAATGTAGTCCCGTGGATGTTTCTGGAGACTGCAAAATACGTCTCGGGAGGTACGTATTTTTGCGATTTTTGGTTTTCGTGAATCCACGAGAGGCCGATGTGTGTGCTTTTTCATTTCTCAAATGTCTCTCGCGAGTGCCGTTTGCACCCACGCTGTTCTCGCGTAAACCTGTCGAACGACCGTCTGTCTGTCTGACTGACTGAATGATTGACTGTGTGACCGGTAATTCACCTGACCCAGCCTCCTCCTTCCCTAAACATAACCAATTTTACTGATTGACCCGCCTGCCCGCTTACTTCCCTAAACCCAACCAACAATTTTCAAATTTACACATTCTGTGCTGAAAAAGAAAAGCCCTCGTCTGATTTTTACTACGTTTTTGGATTTTACCACATTCTCACCCTGCTATGCTCTTGTTCACTTTATTTTTTTGATTCTGTTTTTGTATTACCTGATTTCTGGAACTGATATTTCCCGGACTCGAATCCGTCGTCGTCATTGTCGTCAGCTCTTCTCTTTGTCTCAAGTCCGCCAACATACACGACGAGCTAACCAGTGGTAGAAAGAATACAAAAAAATCATACTCAAGTAAAAGTACCATTACTTGCCTAAAAATGTAGTTTGAGTAGAGTAAAAGTATCTCTTGTAAATATTACTCAAAGTAGGAGTAAAAAGTAGCCCTTTTAAAAGTACTCATGAGTAGTGAGTGGTGAGTATGACGCTGTAAAAAGCTGATGCGTTTACATGTAATTTGTGGATGTGTGTAAACGCAACATTCTGTAGTGCATTTAGTTATTGCCCAGCAGGCACACAATGTCATAGGACAGTAATATTAGGTTAGATTTAGATTGTGATGTCAAGTGACCAAAATTCAATGTCTAGCCAGCGTCTAAGGATAACGTTATTTTGATGTCGAATAACAACATTAAATGACGTTGATATTTGGTTGATTTTAGGTTGTGTTGGAAAGTGACCAAAATCCAATGTTGAGCCAACATCTTAAACCAACATCCTATTGACGTCAAATACTGATATTGATTTTGGACGTCTTCTTGGACACTCTAAATGCTTCCAAACAGTTTGCTGCATTTATAAATCGCCCATGTCTTGAGGTATTATATTATGAGGCGATTTGCCTTCTATATGTGATTTTATTGGACAGAAATTACATCACTGAACTTTCTAATCCCCCTAGACAAGAAAAAATAAAGTAGTGACTGCAGGTTGAAGGAAAGTAGTGGAGTAAAAGTACAGATACAGCATTAAAAAATGTACTCAAGTAAGAGTAAAAGTACACATTTTTAAAACTACTCATTAAATTACAATTCCTGAGAAAAAGTAATTAATTACAGTAATTTGAGAATTTGTAATTAGTTACTTTACACCACCGGAGCTAACCCATAGCGTTCGCTTAAAAATGAAATGCAGCCATACAAACCTCCGGCTACATAATTCGCAGTCTCCAGAAACATCCACGGGACTACGTTTTCAGAATGAGCCTGGGTTGCATGAATCTGACATAAACATAATTGTCATGAAGCCATTGTGAATATGTAAAGAATTTTATAACATCATTAATTTATATATATTTAACTACAGTGGTACAAGCTGAGTTTGTCATTATGGCATTCTTTAAAAGAATTTGACAGCATAATGACAATTTTAATGAGACATTTTAAAGACAAATACAGTTTGTTCCACTGAAATTCAGAAAACTATTCATGATGCTAATATTCATCCGTCAGCTAGCTCTCTGCAACTCTCACATGGTTGCCCCCTGAAGCTAAGCATTGCTGCACCAGGACAGTACCTGGATGGGAGACCACATAAGGGAAGCTAGGTTGCTGCTGGAATGTGTGTTAGTGAGACCGGCAGGGTGTGCTACGAGTGTGATATTGTGTTTATACAACAGTTTGACGGCATAATCGTGAATATTAAAAAAAGAAATTAAACAAGGAAATTCTCAAAAACCCTTTTGTTTGAGGAACTACTTTCTTCCGCCACTCATTTACATCTGCAGCTGGTCAGACACACGTCACTTTAGAGCTAGTGTTTAAATGATTCTCTAGCATAATGTCTAAATGGATGACAAAACAGGTGATTGTGCTCACATTTTAAGATTAAAGGCTGAAAGGCATGAAATGCCATCAGCCAACAGAGATTTCCCAGTATTTCTCTGTTGCAGTTGGAATATCACAATAACTAACCCCAAAAAAGCCAAAGCAAAGCAAACATTACTAGATTACTATGGTATAAATACAGCACAACAACGTACAATCCTGTTGTATACCTGTTTTATAATGATTTGATCAGCTGTAGTTGAAATATGAAAAGAAAACGCTGAGTTTTTCCACCTCTAAGGGCTTGTTATGCGTCTTTGCTCTGCTCAATATGACAGGCTGATGGCTGCCGATGCGCTGAATTGCTTCGAAATTATAAATATTTTAAAATAGGCACTATCCTTCTAAATAAACCACATAGTTGCAATCTAAACATCTACATTTTGCCTAAAATGCCTTAAATGAGATAGATAGTGAATCTATTGATCTGCTGTCACTCTATGTGGGCGGAGTAGTACACAAGGGTATAGAGGCTGTACAAATGCTGATATTGCAGAATATTGCACGGCGATAAGCCAATCAGATTCCAGAACCAGACAGAACTGTTGCATAAATAAATTTACTGTATTACTGTTTTGCCAATCACAATGTATATTTAGCTGTGTTGCCAATTTATATTAATGGTAAAAGACAGTCAGTTTAGCAAACTAAGCTGCATTCTCTACCCATACATTGTACAGTTGGCATGTTTGTACCAGTTACCTCATTTGCATAACACCTTGAGTGAATCAGGTGCTAAGACGGCACAAACAAACAACGCAATCAGCAAGTGTGATTCATTCTTACTTAATTCACCCCATAACATCTGAGCCCAATACCAGTAGAGAGGAAGTTGATGTATATGTGTCTGCATGAGTGTGTTTGTGTACTTGTTTATGTGGTTTACAAGAACAAAAACCTGTATGATGAAACCTACTGTAGGTGTTACTTTAATATGGTCATTCGAAATACTTAAAAACATTTCTAATGGGGTCTTTTGACAGTAACATTGTGGCTTAGGCTTGTGTGGGGGTCTTTGGGGAATGTAATGCCTATAGTGTGTGTTTATGTGTGCGTGTTGCTTTAATGCATGTGGATTTTTAATTCATTCCTCAACAAGCTGAAAACAGAGTCATGTGTGATACTGCCGTTTCCTCTGGCGCGTGTCTGTGTGTGTGTATGCAGTGAATGGGTGAATGAGTGGAGATGAATGAGAGAGACGGGGCTACAGTCACTCTGCCTGCAGCTGCATTAACATTCAGAAGCTGTCTTACTGACAGAGAGAGAGAGAGAGAGAGAGAGAGAGAGAGACATGGGAGGGGAGGGAGAATTTGGAGGGCAGAGAGAGAGAGTGGGAGCGAAAGGGGGGGTAGGAGGGGCTGTTGATTACAGCACTATGAGAATGTGTGTGTCTGTGTGTGTTTGTGCTGTTTTAGGGGGGTGAGGTGAGTCGTGCTCAACCCCCCCACACACTAATCAATCCGGACCCCTGGCGCCCGTGCGTTGTCGTCGGCGACCATCCACGTATGGAGAGAATGTGGAGGGCGGGAGCGCGCCGGCTCAGCCACAGGGAAACAGCGCAGCCGCGTCACAGCGTGTGCGCGAGAGCCACGGGGAGTGAACATGCCCCACTCGCGGTGAGTGCAGCCCGAGCGCTCGGCGCCGTTCGCGAAAGGCAGCCGTTAACGGGAGCGAGGGGGAGGGCGGGGAGCGCTCAGAGGGAGGAGAGGTGGAAGAGAGGAGCAGAGGAGGAGAGAGGGATAGGAAGAGAAGAAGTGAGCCGCTCGCACCTGACGGCCCTGGCCGGTTCGGGGATATCGAGGAGGAGAGCCGCGCACGCACACACGCTGCACGCCTTCTCTTGGGACCATGTCGGTGACCACTGGATTTGGCTACCAGTTGCCGGGCATCACCACGGTAACCTATGTTTTTGTTTACAGCCCGGGGACGGTCCAGCGGGACCCCAGCCCTCCTCCCGTGGGGCCCTCGCACACACTCTCAGGAGCCCGGGGCCCCAAAAGGAAACTCTACAGCGCGGTGCCGGGGCGCACATTCATCGTGGTCAAACCATACTCACCGCAGGGAGAGGGAGAGATCCAGCTGAACCGCGGAGAGAGGGTCAAAGGTGAGTGCCCTTTCTTTGCTTATCTATTTGCTTCTGACAGCTGTCAGTCTTCTTGAAAAGGGGGCGGGGCTACGCCAAATTTGATCTGTGGAGATAAATCCATTTGGAGGTTCATGGTTTGCTTGTTGCAGTGTGTTTTTATGTTAAATGAGTTGAATTGTTGGATCTTTATCATCTATAGTCATCTGTACTGGAATTATGCATTGTTATATGTATCGGTATGTATTGGAAATTGATCCAAAGTAACCTAATAGTTGTTAGCTAGCAAGTCTTTTTGTTCAGCACAGTTTTTTTAGGAATTAAAAGTGTCGTTCATTATTGTAATCAACCAAGGAGGCTGTTGGTTATCAGTTTCAGTAATTTAACCCATTAACTGCCTGCTCAACTCTGTTTTAAATAATGACTGTTCAAGTTTTTTAAAGATTGACTGCTTTGAATAATGGCTTACACACACAGCATTGTTGGTTTAGAAAACAATCAAACAAGCATACTCCTGTTGCACTACTACACTTCATTTTGGTTTTATTGTTAAAAAAAATAACAACAAGAAAACATGGTAAATGACAATCTGAAATATTTTATGGCATACTTCAAAAAATAAAGATGATTTAGTATTCAAAATGTTTTATTTTTATTATGCTATTTTTTTATATAAATTAGTTTTACTGTACACTTTATATTTTCACATTTTTTTATAGTAGTGTATTAATTCCGGTACTTTTACCTCAAAACGACATATCAACCATTTGGTAGAGGTTTATAATTTAGAAATTACGGGATGTGTTGAAAAAAATGTGTTGAGTGTGTTAAATAGCGACATTAGGAAGTTAAGAAATGCAATCCGAACACTTTTCTTGGTCTAGTTAAAGGGTTAAAATGGCGAAATGTGTATGGCATACAACAGTGTATATACAGTTAAAGTCAGAATTATTAGCCCCACTTTGAATTATATTTTCTTTTTTTTAATATTTTTCAAATGATACTTAACAGAGCAAGGACATTTTTGCAGCATGTCTGATAATATTTTTTCTTCTGGAGAGTCTTATTAGTTTTATTTTGGCTGGAATAAAAGCAGTTTTTAATTTTTTTAAAAACATTTTAAGGTCAAAATTATTAGCTGCTCTAAGTTGTTTTTTTTCCATAATCTACAGACCAAACTACCGTTATACAATGACTTGCCTAATTACTCTGACCTGCCTAGTTAACGTAATTAACCTAGTTACGCCTATAAATGTCACTTTAAGCTGTATAGAAGTGTCTTGAAAACTATCTAGTCAAATATTATTTACTTTAATCATGGCAAAGATAAAATAAATCGGTTATTTGTAATGTGGTATTAAAATTATTATGTTTAGAAATGTTTAGAAATATTCTCTCCATTAAACAGAAATTGGGGGTGGGGGGATAAACATGGGGTTAATAACTAAGGCAGGCTAATAATTCTGACTTTAACTGTATATAGTAACATATTACAATTGAATAAATACATTTACAATAGATTAGGAAATTATGAATTTATGTTGTGGAATTGTTATAAATATGATATATTTTTCAAAATTAAATAAATATACAATAAAACATTTTTGTTTGTTAGTAAATGCAATGATGTATTAAATGTTACATTCATATTGTAAAAAAAAAAATAAAAACGCTCCCCAAAAATGTACATACATACTTACAAGTTATATATAGTCCCGGATGTAATGGCATTACTGTAGCATGAAAGGGATTTGAGATGGTCTGTAGAAGCAGATCTGCTGGCTGAGTTCCGAACCGAGCTGTCGTTTGAGCTGAAGTGACCTCCAGACTGTCTGTTTTGCGAGATGCACATGCTTTTCCATCTTTTCTATGTCATCTACACTGCTGTGTCTCAGAACAGGGAAGCGAAGGTTTGTTGTCTGTCAAAGACTGCTCTCTGGAGACCGTCTTTCACATCGCACACACACACTGATGCTCAGCTGTGAGGGCTGTGCTCTCTTGCTTACGTGCTCTAGTTAGTGAATCCTGATCCAGAAGAGATTCTGCTGTGATTAAACTCTGACAGCATTTGTTCCATGTACATTTTTACAGATGTGGATGTAACTCATACTAACGCTTTATAAGTTTGTATGTGTGTGTGTGTGTTCATAGCTCAGGTTCATGGCTTATTTGTTGTTCTGTTCTTGTCTCCATTCATGCTTCAAAGCAGACTACCACTCAAACGCAGTGGAAGGTAAAGAACTTGCATCATCCCACTGCCCTCCAGTGTGTATGAGTGTGTGTCCCATGCACAGACCCTTACAGTGATGTTTTTATCCTTTAGAAACTCTTTCTTTCCACTTTACCTTACCTGCATGTCCACATGTGCTCACACTTCTGTACCAGACACCCTTCAACACGTACACAGCAGTTGTAGTGTGATTCCTTCCTGCTCTTTATCCAGTCCTGGAAAAAATGTATACACATTCTGATTTCTCTGCCTCTGTGTAATGGATAATAGTTTCCTCCATTTGTAAGCAGTTGAACCTATATGGCTCTAAAGTTGCTCAGGATACTTATGGCCCATTTCCACTGCATGGTACGGTATGGTACTGTACAATTCGGTATGCTTTTATGGCCGTTTCTACTGTCAAAAGGTATCAAAAACTAACCATATCGTACTTTTGTAGCACGATAAAAGGTGGAGCAAGACGTGCAACTGAACACTATTGGTTATGTCACTCGCTCGTGCGACAAGCCAGGAGAATGAAAAAAAAGAAAGCACCATTTTTAAATACACAACCGAGACATTACGCCATAATAACATTTAAATAATAGCGAGCCATGGTTAACCCGAGCATAAACAAACCTTGTTGTTGTCTTGATAAACAGCCACAAAGCCAAGGAGAAGAGCAGAATCTACCCTGTGCCCCGTTGTTGTTTACAAGGCCATCTAAAGCGCGAGCGGTTTCACTTTCTTGCATGAGTTTGCCGTGCACCTATGTTTGAAATAATGAACTTCTTGAGCTGATGATAATAGTGTGCAAATTAATATTGAAGTGCTTCTGACATCGGATCCTTTCAGAAACGGAAAAACGTGAGAGTGAAGCACGAAAAAACAAAGGAGTAACTAATTCTTTCGGCAACCTAAAAGATGATCAAACTTCCATGTTTAGCTATTATCATCACCTTTTGGACTGTTATGAACTTGGCATGATGGAATTACTTTATAACAAGAGGTTACCATTGGTACCCCTTTGGCAGTGGAAACGCAAGCCTGATAAAGGTGACCCGTACTATACTATACTGTACCACTTTGTCTGGTGTTATGAATTCATTACTGCACTGTAACACACTTAGGGACTATTTACATATTGTGCCTTTTGCACACTCGAAAAAAAAAACTTTTTTAAAATGAGCTGAATCAACATATTTATTAAGTGTTTTTTGGGATAACTTAATAGTTTTTTATTTTGTTTTATATTTTATTTTTTGCTCAATCCACTTAAAAAAAATCCACTCTTAAATTCATTATTTAAAATGGAGACACATAGATTGTGAAAATAGGGAATTTTTGGGTCTACTTTATCACAGTGTGTTTAATACATCCCAATTGTTCAGAATTCTGCGAGCATTCTGCACATCATGTGACAGGAACCAACTAATCATCTTCACAGTTTTGTATGGATTATACACAATTCTGTAGTAATAGTAGACTAATTACCTCAGACACATGAAGAGCATGTAAGGATTGTGGCAGTGTATCAGAGCTGCAGCAAATGTTTATCAGGGGTGGTTCCTTAAAGACTGTGGCTGTTGGTGGCTTAGCAAAGACAGACGCCACAGGAGCATGAGCTCAAAAGTGCATTGAAAATGAAGGAAGTGGTGCGGCTTGCATATTCCACATGGTTTTAGATGTTATGAAAGCAACACAGTCTCATTGTGGATATTTACCCCTGTTTATGGGGTGGTATGACACTATATCAGCTGATCGATTACCTCAGTACGGACGGCTTTTCCGGTGTTACCAGTTTGCCCAGTAGTTTGCTACATATGCCGATGGACTTGAGATTCAGAGTGAAGTTGACCACGACGACTAGGTTTGAGTCCGGCAATGGAAAGTTCAAGAAACCAAGTAAACCAAAGCAAAAAAATAAATAAATAAACAACAGGCTGAAAACATGGTGAAATCACACAGCCCCGATGTCTTTTCTTTTTCTAGATTTTGAAAACACTATCGGTTGGGTTTAGGGATGGGGGTGGGTGGATAAGTCTGTCTGTCAGTCAGTTGACAGCAAGATATTCCTGGTCAGCTAAAGTGTGTATTGCACCCTCAAGTGGATTTAGGCAAGAAGAGGAAAGGTGATAAAAATTTAAGATCATCAAAAAGCATACACAGCAGCGTCTGGTGGATTTGCAAAAACAAAAACTGCGAGCAGACGTTCCTCCCGTTACATATTTTGCTTTCCCCAGAAATGTAGACCTGGGTACGTATCCATAATGCGCCTGGGTTGTATAAAAGAACAGTCCCTTAGTATTTTTAGGAGCAGACTAGGGAAAATATAACTGTGCTAAACTTAATCCAAGCATTTAATTAGGGATGCACTGAATTTTCAGTTACTGATAGAAACCGCATTTTCAATTTTTGCCCAAAATAGAAATATTGGCAAAAATATTAACAGTAAAAAGTCCCAGCATGCTAGTTTCAATCTTCCTCCAGCCATAGTGCTACATTACAAAACCTATTCATTTCAATGGCTTGCATCAAACAAAGCTTAAGTTAAAAGTATCAGTTCTCCAAGCAAAAGATTTATTCAAATAATGTACCGACAGGACATTTCTAGTTCTTGCAATGTTTTTGAGATGATAGTAAGCTGAAATTGAAGGAAGTTTTCTCACAAGTTTTAGATGCAATAAGTAAACAGCCACTTAGTATATTCAGGAGCAGGCTGCTGAAATATGTGAAAACATATCTACGCTAAATTTAATCCAAACTTCTAATTATTGATGCACTGAAATATTGCCAAAAGTAGTAACCGAAAAAAGTCCCAGGATGTTAGTTTCACTCTCCCTTCAGCTCCATTACAAAACCTATTCATATCAATGGCTTGCACCAAGCAAAGGGTAAGTTAAAAGTAGCAAATCTCCAAGCAAAACGTTTGCGCAAATAATGCTGTGACAGGACATTTCTACATAGTATACTAGTTCCTTCTGCTTGCAATAGTGCTGTCATGGCAACGCTGGTAAAATTAGGCTTATTGATCAATAAAATGTGGCTAATTTATAGGCATGCGTTTTTTATCAGTATAATTCAAGATATTGAGTTAAATTTAAAAGTCTTACAAAATGACTTTATATTGTTTAATAAAATAATAAATAATATTACAAACCATTTTCGGTCTCAGTCCTGAGTGTATCCAGAATTTTCAGTTTCGCTTTCGGTTCTGAATTTCCATTTCAGTGCATACCTACTTTTAACTCAATCATTGGCGAATTAAATAAACATCTTATAAACCAGTGCTAACAACAATATTTAGTCACTTAAGATGAAATTTGCTCTCATGTGTAAGTGATTTACATAAAGGGTTGCTGACTCAAATTCTGTGATGGGCAGCAGGTGCATTAGTCTTACTGAAGTGCCAAGATGCCCATGCCGGAAAAGATGGAGTTGCCGTTATAATCTGGTGGCACCATGACAGCATTTAGCATGTGCCAGCTAAGAAACTGCCAGGACAAACCATATGCAGGACACACGATGCATCTCTGACGTAACGGCACCATATGTCAAAACCATTCCCATTTCCTGTGGCCTTTCAGTTCTTGTAGCACCTCTGCAATCTTACAGAGACAGAGTGAACAGTCTGCAGTATGTCTTACTTTTTAAGTAGACTCAAATGAGTCATTCAAAATTGGATTCATTCAGGAACAAAATGCTGCAAGGATGCACAATTAATCTGCATTACCTGTTTTTTTTTTTTTTTGTGGGTGAAACTGTAGAAAAAACACAATATACAATATTTTGTATAAATAAAACACAGTATTAAGTTATTATTTGATGAACTGTTGGAAATCAATCCAAAAAAGTGCACCCCTATATGCACTACTTTGTTTGGAACAACATCAACAAAATATTTTATTAAACTTTTTTTTTATGTTTATTTTATTTTATTTTTTTAAGTAGTCTCTTATACACCAAGGCTGTAAATATTTGATTAATATGAAATATAACACGTTTTGAAATTATATTGCAATTTAAAACAATTATTTTCTTGCTTAATAGCTTTAAAAATATATATCATAGTAATTATTTTGCAGAATATATAGCATTGTTATTCTGTTACTCTTTGTTTTCAGAATATTAATTTGCTTATTTGCTTAGGAAACTACTTGTATTATACTACTATTATTATTACTACTATTTAGTAACAAAATCAGTTTCAGTACTGCTTAAATGAGCATTTATGAGAAAACAGAAATATTATCCAACATTATAAATGCATTATATTTCACTCTTAGTCAATTTAATGTAGCCTTCCTGAAAAGTTTAATTTATTAAAAAAAAAATCTTACTAAGCCCAGACTTTTCAACGGTTTGTCTGTAATCCCTTTTTTATGTAATATTAACTTTTCAACAAACAAACAAAACAGTTTTATCTATACATTCATTGTTTTTGTATTAATGAGTGTGTTTTAATGTTCTTTAATGAATAGAGAGTTTAAATGTAGTAATTGTATCTAACTTTACATTGTAAATAACTTTGCTGTCTCTCTTGATCAATGCAAGTGATGCAATTAACTTCTTTCAAAAAATAAAAACTAAATCTTACTTTTTAGTGGTTGTCTAAAATCCTTTAGTTATCTAATATTAAATGTGCAAAAACACCTGAATCTACTGTATACACACATGGTGTGGGTGTGTATTCATGTTCTTTAAAGAATAGAGAGTTCAAATGAGCATTTCTTTGGAAATAAAAACATTATTTAACACTATCTACACTACCTGACAAAAGTCTTGTCGTCAATCCCAGATGTAAGAGCAAGAAAAAATAACTTGGCTTCTTGTTGAACATTTAGAAAAGTGACAGAAGGAAACATTTTCTGATAAATTGTCTGTTAAAACTGCATCCCAATCTTCACAAATGCAAAGATTCTCAAGAAATCAGTCAAGTTTGGTGAAGGAAAAATCATGGTTTGGGGTTACAGTCAGTATGGGGCATGCAAGAGATCTGCAGAGTGAATTGCAACATCAACAGCCTGAGGTATCAAGACATTTGTGCTGTCCATTACATTAAAAACCACAGGAGAGGGCAAATTCTTCAGCAGGATAGCGCTCCTTCTCATAATTCAGCCTCCACATCAAAGTTCCTGAAAGCTAAGAAGGTTGAGATGCTCCAGGATTGGCCAGGATAGGCGACCAGACTTTTGTTAGATAGTGTACGGTTACTCTTGGTCAATCTAATTCAGACTTGCTGAAGAAATTTACAGAATTTAATTATTACTTCAGACTTTTCGGTAGTTTTCTATCATATTTTTTTCTGTAATTTTAACTCTATACACATCTATACACACAAGGTTTGAGTGTGTATTCATGTTATTTTCGACAAATTACAAGAACAATCCAGAGACTTTGCATGAGAATGTTTTGCAGTATGTACACACAAGAATGCAGCTTGTATTTTATCACTGTTAAATAAACCCCGGTGTGAGCGTTTTCCATTTAATCCCCGTAGTTTAGCTTTGGAGACTCTCATTCACTGATATAAATCACGTTTGGGTGCACAAATAGCTGAGACCTTGAGGACTGAATAAAGCTCTGCTTGTGACTTCAGGTTGATAACCTTTAGCATGCTCTTCTGGGAACATGTTGATGCTCCTGTGCCTCATACAGATGTGAAATGCATTTGGACTGCGTGGCTTCAGTTCATTGGAGCTTACCAACCTCAGCCTTGCTTTGAGGTCACAGATGATAAACGGATGAGGGCTGGAAATCTTCCCTGCTCGCAGGCTCTAGATGTGCTTCTGGAGAATGGTATTTTCAGGACAGGATTTTAGGGCAGATTGAGGGTAAAGTCACATCTCAAGCTCAGTATGTGATTGATATGATTGCAGAAGATGGTTTCGTGTGCGTGTGTATTTCTATGTGTATGTGTAACCTAGCAATTTCCCCTGCTAAGTTACATCATAAGAAGATGAAAATGGGTTTGTGAAAACTTAGTATGTGTGTTTATTCATTATTTTTATATGAACAATTTCAGACCTGTACTTATATTTCTGAGTATTATATTTTTCTTCGTTTTCTGAGTTTTCTATATTATTCAGAAAACGTAAACATAATGCTTATTTTCAGTAAGATAAAAAATAAAACACTGTAAGCCCACACTGTAAAAATATCTGTAAATGAATAGTTTCACAAGTGTTTTCTGTTTAGTAACGGTTGGGAATCGGATTAATATTGGAGCTTAATCTCTGCTCTGTCGAATCTTGATGTTTAAAATTCAACTCTATAGTTTAACATCTTGACTTTTATTGACATTTTAGTACTTTGAAGTAATATAATATATATAAAAAAAGAATTTTAGAGAAATAGTTCTCTAAAATAACAGAAAATGTACTGGCACTTTATTGAAAGGTTGTTGTGCCGTAATTTACTACACCAACCAGACAATATATCACTTTAAACTATTAAAAATTTTATTAAAAGTCACTTTATCAAAATTTTCAAGGTTAAACATTGTTGGACAAAAGAATAGGGTCTCATAATGCAATTGAAAAGCATAATTAAAGGGGGTAAAATAAAAACAAGAATCACAAAATAAGGAAAACTTTGAAGAATCATTTAACTGCAAAGATTTTTACAGTGCATAACATGTCTCTATTAAGTTTTTAGAACAAATCAAATTCCAATACCCAAAACTTACCCCAGACAAGTTATGGGGAAAAAAAGATTTTAAATATTATCATAAAAAATAATAAAATACAAATAAAAAAAGAAATTTAATCAAACATGCACCAATTCACATTCCACAACTTCAAACTTCCAAAGCTTCTTCAATATCTCCATTTTTCACAAAGTTAAAAAACACCTCCAAGATATCACAAATTTCAGAGGATTTTCCCTTATTATATATGTGAGCTTTTCAGGAGCCCAAAATGTTAATAGGTTTCTCAAGCAAAGACCACTGAAGGGGCGATTAATATTTTTCCACACAAAGCAATACAACATCTTGCTTGTATTAAAGATAAGTCAACCGATTTTCTTTCTTTAGTAGACAGAGCACAGTAAAATAAGCAGACAGTCTTCATACATATTTAATACACTTAATCCAGGACTTTGACCTTGTATTTTGGTAAGAATGCATTAAATTCAATTGAATGAAAGGATCTTAAATGTTAGGAAAGCATAATGCATACAAGTTAAATCGTTTTTTTTTTTGTGATAATAAAATAATAGATGAAGGATTCACCTACTGTATGGAGGTTAAAATAGGTGAACTAGCGTTACTGTCGTTTAATGTAAAAAATTTCAACTTTTTGTGACCTGCCATAATTGAAATATATAAAAGAATTGAGTCATGTTATATATATATATATATATATATATATATATATATATATATATATATATATATATATATATATATATATATATAAATACATATATGAATGACAGTATCTGTTAATGTTTTTACCTTCAGTCTTTATCTGTCTTTACCTTGACTCTTTCCTCCCTCTTCTTCTTATTTCATTTTCTGACAGAGGAGAATGTTTATGAGGAGATCAAGCTTGGTAAACATGAAGCCCATTTATCTCCCCCCATCCTGTTCATAGCTCTGATTTGATATTCAGTAGATACCGATAGTACAGTCATAGTAGTCTAGAGCAAAACACACGCACTCTAGTGAAATCAGCTCTATACACACACACTTTGTCTTGTGGTAGAGCTCTGATGTATGTGTGTTGTCTCTCTCTGGCAGAGTCCATCAAGGAAAGTGAAGAGGAAGGTAAATTCATTAGAGTAGAACTATGTGTGCTGCTGTGAGTCTCCAGACTGCTTCAGGTCAGACAGAACCAGTGAGAGTTCACAGACCACCATTAGAATGAAGTAAGATCCCTCTAGATCCAGTGCAGTGGGTTACTAGGTTTTAGCAGAGAGAGGGTGGAAAGATGGATGAGGTTTGTTCCCTGCGTGTATAATTTAAGTAGTAAAACAATTATAAAAGAAAACTTATGGAATAGCACAACACAGGCTCATTATAAATATGTACCCTTGTATACATTTCTGGGGAGCATGAATTATGTAGCAAGATTTACATATGGCTGCATTTCGGCTTTCAAACGAACGATACGGGGCGGTATGACTCTGCCAAAGGCTTCCTTTTCATGCTACCAGCTGACTGATTCCCTCCATACGGACATCTTTTCTGCTGTTACCAGTTTGCCCAGTCGCTTGCCGCGTATGTCGGCGGACTTGAGACGCAGAGAGGAGTTGACTGCAACAACGGGGTTAGCGTCTGACGAAGAATAGTTCCAGAAAGCAGGTAAAACAAAAACAAAAGGCAAAAAATAAAATAAACAAATAAATAACATTGTGAGAACGTGGTAAGATCTGAAAATGTGTTAAAAAATCAGGCGGCTTTTCCTTATTTGCATTGCTTTTGAAAACACCGTCAGTTGGGTTTACACTAACACTTTTACACAAGGGGGTTGGTGGGACATCAGTTGGTTTGTCGGTCGGTCAGTCAGTCTGTCAACAGCAGCCTCTGGTGAATTTACATGAGAACAGCAGGTGCAAATGACATTCGCGAGAGAAATTTGAGATTCGTGAAACTGCAACTGCAAAAAAAAACGTTCCCCCTGGAACGTATTTTGTGCTTTCCAGAAATGTATACAGGGGTACATATCCATAATGAACCTGGGTTGGAATATCAGCAATATGTCATAGGCAAATGAAAAGTGTGCATTTGTGTAAATATCAAGGTTTTTATTGCTCACAAAAAAAGATGTAGGAGAATAGCAGTTATTCAGAGAGCTAAAATAGGTAAAAATAAGCTATTTTGGCTTAAAAATTTAGGTGAAATTCTGATTGTAATGTAGATTCATGTGATCTTTATAACTGTCTAACTATTTTCATAAAATGCGTTTAAATTTCAGTTGTCACTCTTATTATTAAACAAAGAGATACATAAAATCACAAGTAAATAAGAAAATAAAAAGATAGACAAGACATTTGACATCAGTCAAATAGTTTCCTTTGTTTTTTTATTTTAGTTTTTTTTGTTTTGTTTTTTTGTTTTGTGTTTTTTGTTTGTTAATGTTTTAGTGTTTAGTGTTTTGTTTTTGTTTTTGTTTTTGTTTTTGTTTTTGTTTTTGTTTTTGTTTTTGTTTTTGTTTTTGTTTGTGTTTTGTTGTTTTGTGTTTTGTTTTGTGTTTTTTTGTTGTTTTTTTTTGTTGTGTTTTGTGTTTTTTGTTTGTTTGTTTCATGTTTTTTGCAGTTTGTTTTGTGATTTGTTTTGTTTTGTTTGTTTGTTTGTTTGTTTGTTTCATTTTTTGTAATTTGTTTTGCTTTTTGTGTTGTGTTGTTTTGTGTTGTGTTGTTTTGTTTTGTGTTGTTTTTTGTGTTTTGTTTTTTGCTTGTTTGTTTGTTTGTTTAATGTTTTTTGTGGTTTGTTTAGTTTTTAGTTTTGTGTTGTGTTCTGTTGTTTTGTTTTTTGTTTTTGTTTTTGTGTTGTATTTTTTGTTTTGTGTTTTGTATTTTTTGTTTTGTGTTTTTGTGTTTTTTTTTTTTTTTTTTTTGCTTGTTTTTTTTATTTTTTTTTAGTTTTTTGTTTTGCTTTCACTAAGAAAGTAGATTGGCGTAGTTTTGTTTCCATTTGTGTTTTCTTTTCTTCTTTTTTTTGTTATGCACCAAGTAAATCAGGCATTGTTTTGTTGTTTTATTTAGTTTTGTGTTTTTTTCCTTTGTTTTCCTTCCATTTCCTTTTCTTATCTTTTCTTTTCTTCTCTTTTCTTTTTAAGAAAGTATATCGGGTCATTTTGCTCATTGTTGATAAGGCACTGGGTTATATAAGGCCTTATAATGTGTTTTAAAGTTTGGTTATATATAGTATATTCTTTTTTATGATGGTTCAGTGATTTCAGTTCTTTTTTTTTCCTTGTTCTTAATGTCATCACCAGAATCTCCCTATGTGGAGCATGAAATTAAGGAGGAGGATGCCCATGCTTGTGTGGACGATAAAGGTAATCTCACCCATGTAGGTCAGCTGTATTGGCTTATTAACAGTAGGTGGAAAACTACACTCACTGTAGGTGTAGACTAAAATAGTCTGTCTGTCTACTTCCCTACCTGTGATTAAGTTTTAACATTTTAAAAATCTCTTGATGCTACCCTGCATGCATTCCCTCCTCAGTTCATCCCATCAACAATAAGGTAATATCAGAAGTTGGATCCTGTTGAGCTCAATCAGAATGTCATCAGTGATTGCAAACAATTTGTCGGCACTCAAGAGAGTGAGCAGATAAGCAGGGTCCCCAGTCTTGCGGGTATTGTTGTTTAACATTAGTGGGCGTTGATGCATGCGATAGTCTTACAGCGTAACGGAAACGTAAAATGCGTGATGTGGTTAATATTCCACCAGCATTGGGAGTGTCCCGCAGCCATTAATCATGTTTGTTGAATGTCTAATCTGGCTGTTATTTGCAGCAATTCCATTTTCATGCCTGTCTTAAAGATTAATAAGTAGAGGTGTACGAGACTAGAGCATGCTGGGAAAACATGCGCTCGCGTTGATAATCTACTCTGTGACAAAGTCATGGCTGGTCCAATCAGTGTGCATGTGACAGGATCATTTTTAGGGTTCAGAGTCTCGAGGGCAGCTGGAGTAACAAAGCCTTCATCTAAATGAGAGAGAGAGAGAGAGAGAGAGATGGTTGACTTTCTTTTTGTTGTGCATGGAACATGCAGAGGGCATTTTGTTGACATTTGGTCCTGAAAAATGTCTCTTTCTCAATATGAAATAAGCTAATTTTTTTTTTCTTCATCCGAAGGAAATCGGTTACAAGCAGCATTTTTAATTTTTTTGTATGAAGGAAACTGGTTTTACAGTAGATCCACTTTCAAGGGAACATTAGAACTACTCTGTATCTGTATAATGACCTGCATCACTTATTTACAATCTTGTTTCTTCTGTCATTTTCATTGGGCGGAATGGTATGATACATTACAATATGGTATTTCCATTTCCACTGTCATATTTTAAAAGTGAATCATACTGTTCTCTTTTTTGGGGACACTATTATAAGGCTATGCTGTTAAAAATATCGGTTAAATCTGTCACAAGTGTTTTCTGTTTGTTTATGGTTGTGAATTGCATTATGGGGTGTGGATCTCTGCTCTGTTGATGTTTAAAATTTAAAAGTTTAACAAAGTAGTTTTGTTGACATTTTAGTAGTTTGAAATGATATACTGTATATGAAATAGTATGTAGAGACGTAAGTCTGTAAAATAACATAAGATGTACTGGCAGCTTATTTCAAGGTTTTTGTAGCATAATATACAACACCAACCCAGATAATATATTGCTTTAAACTATTAAAAAGGCCCATTTTTAAACTTGTTAAACGTTGTTGGAAAAAAGATCACGGTCTCATAATGCAATTCAAAAGCATGAATAAATGGGGAAAAAATAAAAATATGATTCACAAAAAACAAAAAACTTGATTTAAGGATATTTTTTAGTGTCAGCAGTACAGTATCAAAGCTAGACTCACAGCCGAATGCAGTGGCGCAGTAGGTAGTGCTGTCGTTGGTTCAAGCCTCGGCTCAGTTTCTGTGTGGAGTTTGCATGTTCTCCCTGCATTCGCGTGGGTTTCCTCTGGGTTCTCCGGTTTCCCCTACAGTCCAAAGACATGCGATACAGGTGAATTGGGTAGGCTAAATTGTCCATAGTGTATGAGTGTGTGTGTGAATGTGTGTGTATGTTTCCCAGGGATGGGTTGTGGCTGGAAGGGCATCCGCTCCATAAAAATTTTGCTGGATAAGCTGGTGGTTCATTCTGCTGTGGCGACCCCGGATTGATAAAGGGACTAAGCCGACAAGAAAATGAAAATGAATGAATATATATATATATATATATATATACACAAATATATATACCCATCATATTATTTATTATACAATGCAAAATAAGAACAAGGTTTAGCTGTTTTTGTAGCCTGTGTCTTTAAATGCAAATTAGCTGGTTCCCCTTCCTGCAAATCCCACATGAACATCTACTTCTCATGCGTTAGGTTACATAAACAGCAGTCAGTGACAGAAGCAGACACAGATGAAGCTGAAATTCAGCTCATTAGTCAAAATACCATAAGTAAGTTTATTTCATATATGTGTGGTGGAGTTTATTCAAGCTTTTCTGAAATGATGAGTCACAAACAAATTAATAGTTCGCAGTACACACACCCACTCGTTTAACTTTGCACTGTTTTTGCTCTCATATATTGTTGCTGGACGTATATATAGTTTTACTGGCACTATGTGGCTATGTGATTCCTATGGTTATAAATTACATGCTGATTTTTCTGTCTTTTCTTTATTACAAACATACACTGTTTTAAAAAATGTTTAAACTTGTAAAACTCATTGTTGAGCTGCAGCTGATCACAGAGAGTTGGAACAGATTTTTTAATCCCAATTTCTTTGCAAATGCTGTTCTGCGGACATGATTATACACAATACTGTGGAGACTATAGAGTTAATATGCTACTATTAATCAATTTATATCTATAGCTTAATTGACTTTACCTTTAAAAAAGGAGTAAACCCATTGTAATTTAAAACTGTAAAGTTGACTTAATTAATAAGTAATTACTGTTTTTTTATATATATAAATATACAATTTTATACAATTTCACTAATTCATTAAAGATTTTACCTATTTTATAATGTGACAGCTTTACTAAAGTGAACTCAAGTAATAATTTTTCATAATGTGATAAAAAAAGAACTATCAAAAACATAATACAATATAAAAAAATCCAGTCATTTTCAATGTGTTTAAGGAAAAAAAAAACATGCTATTAAGTGGCAGATACTGGATATTTTAGTATGCAGTGCTGTATCATTATGCCCACTGGCATGTTTTTCATGACACTGTGCTGTTACAGTATATTAACCCTCATCTGCAATGGAAAAATAAAAATGCTATTGCTTATCATACTCTGCAAAAATGTACCCAGAGCAATGTATTTTAAATGTAGGCACGTATTTCTATTGAGCAGGGGTTGAAAATATTATTGGCAGTGATGGATACATCTCTAATGCCTTCAGACATGGATCAGATGGAGCAGCAGGATGGTATACAAATACTGCATTTGGATGCAACTTAATGCATTCCTTCTGCATACAGTCTTGCATATTAGCCAACTGTATTCATAGGGCATTTTACTTTCATAATATGATGTAATTTGAATGCAGCAGTATATAAATATTTAGCATAAATGAGTTTATCTTTTAAAGATCCTCGTCTTAAATTAATATTCTCTGTAGGATCCTATTAAATAAAATTGCTGTGCATGTACATTAGATTATGTTCAAATACCAAAACTGCAACTAATCTAACAAAATGACGTAAGATCACAGTGCAAAAATGTGTACAGCCTAATGAATAAGTTCATGAAACTAATAAATACAATTTTAATAAAGAGAACTAATCAGCAGAACCATAAAAATGTTTGAATTTATGTTTGAGGTTTTTAAAAAATCCGTCATTTGAATTGAATTGTATCATCATTCTATTTCTAAAGAAGTTAGGTGACTACACTCTTATTTTAATAAATAAAATGTAAGAAATTAGTTAATAAACTTTTAATAATTTGAGTTATTTAATAAATGTTTCGTTTAAATGCACCAAATTATATTTTCACTGAGAAATATATATATATATATTAACCTCTGTGCACTGTTCAATTTTACTACTCTTTTGTCATATTTGGGATAAAAACATACACTAAATCTAACTGCTGTAAAAATGCATCAGATAAATATTTTTCTCAATTGTTTTTATATAAATCTATTAATCAACCTCAGTCCTGATCAGAACTACTGAACATTTTTAAAAGTGACAGGATTTTAACTCTTTAATTGCAAAGTTAACAATAGATGCTACTGATTTAGCGGGAAAAAGCACACAAAATTAAGTGTTTTCAATATAAAAAGATTTTTTTTTACCTTTTACCACAGTCTTGGACATGTGAATGATTAGTAACAACATTGTCTTTGATGCATTGTTTTTGATCGATTTTCCTTTTTTCTGTCCAATTTACTGTTGGTGGCTGTTGTTGCCCTATTGACTTCCATTATAATAACTTTTTTTTTTTTTTTTAAATTATGACACCATATAATCGTGCATTTTTGATTGTCGGTGGTTTGCCTTGTTGGGAAGAGGTAAAAATTGTCATTATTACTGTTGATCATCAGTTGCCATCCTAAAATCTTTAGATCTTTAGATCATTAAATCTTTAGGCCTGTGCATAAAAATCTTAGTTTCTGAATTTTATATGGAAAATAACAGCAAATTAAAGTGTGTGTATGTGTGTCTGTGAGTGTGTGAAAGTGTAAGAGTGACCTTTGGGTACTTACTTTGAAATGTCTGAGAAAATGTAAATATGCATCTCAGCTCTCAGAACTAAATAAGGTAATTAAAAACAAAAACTGTGTATTTATACACCCACAAATGTGGCTATAATGGAAGGCAATAGGCAAAACAGCCACCAACAGTAAATTAGGGAGAAAAATAAAAACCTAACAATGCATCAAAACCAATGCTGTTACTGTCAAGGTCACATGTAAAAAAAAACAGTCACCGTTACTTTTTATATTTAAAATTCGTTATTTTGTGTGTTTTTTTCCACCAAATGAGTGACATCATTTATGATTTTGGCAATTAAAAAGTTAAAATCCTGTAATTTTCTAAACAATTTAGTAGTTTTGATGAGGACTGAGGGTAATTACAGATTTATGCATATATATATATATATATATATATATATATATATATATATATATATATATATATATATATATATATATATATATATATATATATATATATGATGCATTTTTACTGCAGTTTATTGAGTAGATGGTTTTTTTCCTGAGTATAACAAAAGGATGATAAATTTGGCCAGAAAGTATTGTTGAGTTTTGGATGAACACATCCCCAACAGCACATAAGGGTTAAAGA